GTTTTCATAAAAGTCTTTATCATTTATTGAATTAAGTTCTCTAAAGTAACTAAACCACCTATCGGGCTCAATGGAGTCACATTTATTATCTTTCTCTAACTTATTATTTTTTAGACTACTTATCAATTTTCAAAACTCTTTACTGTTGCTTCTTTGGATTTCCGAAATATTTTTTCATTATTTTGAGCTTATGCTAGTTTTTCTTATTTTTAATTAATTTGTTAAATGTTCTCTTGTTTCTGTAATATGTACTTCTAATACTAGGGTTTTAGGCTTTGCTGTCAAGTTGATTAACCTGATGTCTAGCCTCTCTACAGGAGCCATCAAAGCATGGTTTTGCTTTACGTTTACACTTTAATGACTTGATCACTTCAAACAGGACTCAACAGTTGTCTGTTGTTATATTCTGTCGCCAAGCACTCCTGAAAGTACGTAATCTATTCCACACAGTAATTTCAATAATGTGTAGCCGAGAGTGTGGCTAACACTTGACGATTTTTTTCTTACCCGGCGTTTTATTTCGTATATTCATAATGATTAATAAGAAAACTTTTCGACTGATAACATTGATACATACTCTGGATTATACAATGTGTACATCATCTATGGCTAGCCAACTAGTGGTTCTCAATATGCACAATTTAAGCATTGGACCCCCTAATTTTAATGACAGACGACGATTTCCCCGCATTGCATATCCAGCTTGCCGGGTCCTCTGCACCGCAAAACAGTCATAATTTTGAAATCCATATAGCTGCAAGCCATATTTATTGCGAATTGGTATTTCTATCAAGCTTTTGGAAAACGGATACAGTTGAACTCAGAATGAATTGCATTCAAATTAGCTAATTAGGATACTGAGACAGATTCAATCAAATTAAAACTTTGAACCCTAATTTTAAATCTCATAAACATGCTGCATTTCTACTTGTTTTCAGAGAAATGCCACAATGTAAATTTTAGAACACTTTCATGTTTTTCATTGAAGCACTGTTTTAATTGAAAACACACTTTTGTAATTAAAAACATGTGTATTATGTAATAAAAACACTTATATTTTCTATCGAAACAGTAGTGCTTTAGTATTTTTAGAAAAGTGTTTTACTGAGTTATTAAAACACTTTAGATGAAAATTAAGCACATTGTAAATACAAATACAAACATTGACTTATGACCAAACAAGTGTTAAATGAATACAAAAATATGCACACTACTTGAGTTAACATAACATCACGGCGCGTATTGTACTCTGCCACCTTGCTCTTGAAATAAGTTCAGATTGTTCGTATGAAATGTCAATCATATGATCAGTGTTCGTGAATAGACTATGGCCAGCATTCAAACATAATTGTCGATACAATAGCACGTTATTCGAGAAATGTATTATGTTACCGATAATTCCTTGGAAATGTGTCTAAATGTTGTTTCAAATTCAGTCGACAATTTGTGATTCGTTATAAGGATGCGTGGAGTTCATAGAATAGTCTAATGGTAGTATATTAAAGACGGTTGTATATGAACATTTTGCTATTTTTTTCAGTTTTAAATTGTAACTAACATCGATACATTTCACAGACCAGGTTGTGTGTAGTTGGGTATAATTTTTTAATATTGATTAATATAACAATTTACCAGTTACACGATAACATGGCTAGTTGTGTGTAATTACTAGTTAATTTTGTCATTTGAAATAATCCCAAGCAATTACCCTCCTAGTCTCAATTAATATTTCACTACACCGAAACACGACCTAGTATTTCTCATTTTACAATGGAAATAGATACTCACTATTTATATGTTCAACATTAATTCATATTTATAGCAATGCCACGGAAATTACATTTTTGTCATTATTTGTTAATGGGCGATTGGAAATAGCATCCCAACTTCCCCCAATCGTATTATAATACAGAAAGAAGTCAATTAGAAGTAATTATCTGAAAAGTTTCAAGTTATTATTCACCTAATTACACTGTTTTCTTTGCTATTCGTGCTTGGTCATGTTATATTCGGGAAGTCTATTATAAACACCATACACCTAAGATAAGGCATTATTTTAGGAATATGTCACATTGTGAAAAATATCATTAAATGTGTATCTATTTTAATATCAGCTGATCAATAATAATCAAATTTGTGATATATAGGAATTTATTTATTTTTAGGGACAATGACTCTCTTAATAATTCGAAATACGCATTGTATACAACTAGTACATATTGAAATCCCTTAGATTGTGCTACAAGATTTATTTTTTTGGTGTGGCAAAGCCGTATAAAAAGAATACAACTCTCTTGATAGGAGATATAGACTATTTGATTCCAAGCTACTTGTTTGGGAGTAGAACATAGTTTTAACACAAATTAATTTTTTTCCCTAATTCCCTTACCAAGCTACATGGGCGTTAAGATAAAACTGTGAGAGATGGTACCGTTGCCTGGCTCCTTCTCTATTTTATCTCGATAGAGATGAATACTGCTATGTGATCGCAAAATATAATTGATATAATTATATAACAAGTTCCAACTTATATCTGAAGGGGAATCCACGGAAAAGGGGAAAATGGCCGCCTAGTAAATATTACGCTCGTGGAATGAGTTTCTTGAAGTACAGTGATTGAATAGTTAATCGGTTAGTTAAATGATAAAGGACCTCTAATATGTGAGCAGATTGTTTGTTTATGTTTATCCATTTTATGTTCTACCGAAATAATAATTGGTTACCACCTATTGTGCATAAATTTTAAACAGTTGTAGAATATAATTAGCATAAAAACATAAGACAGAAAAAAAACAATGTTAGCAACAATGTTAACAACATTACTATTCAATTATCACGCCAAATGTCAATGGAGGCAAGCCCTGTAAGCATGGGTGATACAACATATCAACCCTATCACATACATGTGTAACTGCTTGAATAAAGAAGTGAAATGAAACAATGACCCTTACCGGAGGAATCGTATTCCTGTACATATCATAGTAAACTACATGTTGATTTCACCTGTTTAGTTCATTCATTAGAGTGACATGCATCAATTCAGCTCGTAGATATAAAGCGTTGCTGCCTACAAATTGCCCATTTTTAAATAGTAATAGGAATGTTGTATTTTCTTGTTGCGTTATGTGAGAACACTCTTCTCCTGAATAAAGTAGTTTAACAATAGTTACCCTCACTGGTATGGCATTGTGACAGTTTACAAGTAGCGGAAATATATAACACTAAAATATTGTCCCCACCCCCCGATTTGGGCTAACGTGAACAATGTCAGCAACATCAATTTATATGTAAGTAATGTTAATTAATACTATATTATAATATAATTGAGAAATAGTGGGACCCTATTTCCGATAGACAATTACCGAATAATTACTAACACTAATTTCCATGTCAGTGCTATAAAATCATGTTCAGCATGTGGAAAGCGAGTATTTGTTTCTCGTACAAAATGCATAGAATAGGAAGTGTTGTGCTGGTGTTTTGTATACTGTATCAAATATGTGCAGCTATAAACGGAGGTATGTACTTGTATACATAAGTATTATTGATGCGAGTCACTGTGATAATAAACACATGAATTACAGGACCTGGTCATGTTATACGCATTTTAAATATTAATTGAGAAAACTGCACTAACTGTCTCAGTTGTTGCATACATTAGTGAACGTCTTTATTTTTCAGTATTGTAAAAAGCACGGTATTCTTTCGCGAGTGTACAAAAATAGTCGTTCAGTTTGACTCCTTATATAATTGCCGTTATTAAAGATTTGACGCAGGAATAATGTGGTACATGACGTGAGATGTATAGCTACTAGGTTATCACGAAAATACCGCCCTCTGGCAGTACGAAATTGCATCGATCGACAAGTACACAGTGACTTATCCTTAGTGTTTCAGTTTCACAACATCCTCACTTCAAAATTATATTACTAGTCGTTTCTCTAAATATTATTATAGTACCGGCATGCCTATCGTTATTATTTTTTCTCGTCATTAGGCTTTACCTTGTGTATCGCAATGATTGTCGATTCCGAACACACCAATTTCAGAACTAATCACTCCACGCAATTAATGTAATCTGTTCATCGCTAGTGTGTCGTCAAATCTTCAGCCGAGTCCCCTATGTTAAATGGGCCTTCAAAGATGTCAATAGATGAATCTAAACACCATGGAGTTTTAACTTTCGACCCCAAACTCGTGTGTACCTCATCTAAGTCACCTTTTTATTCAACTGTAACATACGTAGGTGCATTAAGGTACATCTAGTTCACTCAAAGTAGAAGCCTATTCAAGTTTTCTAATAAATTGCAATTTCGAGCAATATAAGGACATTGACTTTAAAAAGGTTTGGATCACCAGTTTAATTGTTGAGAAAATGATAGCGGTCATTTTGGCAGTATTATTAGTGTTTGTACCATATAGGTTCCCATGGCAGCGATAATTTATTAATCTTAAATTTTAGGCTGGTAACATGAAAAACAATATACATTGTGATTGATGACAAAAAAAAGAAATTATTCTTTACAATTGTGCTTTAGGAGTTGTCCTAAAAATATCGATTTTTGAAAAAGTTTTGGCAAGTTTCAAAAATAGGTTGGTTGAAAGTATAATGCAAATTTGCACAAGAAAATATAAAAAGCGGCGTTGTTCTACTTTACAAAATCTATTCTAAAATGAACCACAACTTGAAATGAAATTTATAATAATGTATTTTTGTGTGTATATAATCGATGTTCAATCTACACTACAATGATATCATTTTGATATCAGTTGCGTTTACATTTTGATGTCAGTTGCGTTTATTTATTTATTTATTTATTTATTTATTTATTTATTTATTTATTTATTTATTTATTTGATACTTTATCTACAGACACTTGATATAAGATAATGAGATAATCGATATGTGTTTTCATACAGTTAATGTTACCAGATTTTTTTTATAATGGAGAATAAACAAAATCCATTTATGCGTGTATACAGCTGGTTGCAGTCCTCCCATGGAACAGTGTAAAAACAGTAGTAAATGTTTTGGTCCATGGGATCGATGTGATGGTTGGCCAACTTGTGAAGATTTTACTGATGAATTCAATTGTGGTGAGTACAGGGTTACGTAACAATGAACACCAGTATAGAGCTTTGAGTAAACACATCGCTTAAACACCACTCTCTTGAGTGCAGATCTCACATAATCTCACATGATCATGAGGTGATTATGGTATTTATAGCCATATTTGTGCAGAAGCCACAAAGCACGAACAGATTATGTAAATTAGAACCACCAGAATAAATATATATTGTAATGTACTTGTCAACTGTTTTGTACTCAAAAATCATGTAAATTAACAATCCTTACATATGTTTGTATCACTTAAATATTTGGCGGACTTCACTCACCAATGTGAAAAACAGTTGTAAACACGATATAGTAAGATATAATAATAAATAACAGTGACAATATCTAAAATAAATATTTATTTAACCAAAAATGAATTGTTTAGCATATGTGGGAAACTGTAGAATATAGAATCGTGTCAATACGAGAAAAAATATAATTTAACGATAATGAATCAACATGCGTTATTTCGGCTTTTTGTAAAATACACACAATGACCCACTAAGTAGTTGTTCAAAAGACGTATCTAGTCGATACACATGTTAAGTAAAATCGTTTTTATTATTTTATGATTTTATATTTTGCACATCATAAATCATACAGCAAGGGAAACCCTGAACGATGACACGCAATGAAGTGATATATATGATACTTCGATAACCTTTAACAATGACGTAATCGATTATAAATTATGGGCATGTTATAATATTTGTTATTTGTGTTATAGAATGCACAGATGATAGCTCCACAAAATTCAAATTTTAGCATATGATATTTTTAAAAGTTTGTATTAAGACTAGTAATCACTTTTGAATACCTTTGGTGCTTTTAAATCGTTCATCCTTAACATGTGCAATGTAAGATGAGATAAGATGTCTTGCATTATATGGATAAGTTACTCTGAAATACACTGACGTTAAGTATAATACATACAATCGTGATGCGCTGTCGTGTGTTATATAATTTGCATAATTGATTTACATATCTGAAGTAATCTGATATACATGTTGGTGCATTATGATACATTGAATCGAGTATAAACGAAATGGTCACTAGCCCGTGTATTTGGAATATATCAGTATGTTAATTGCCCTGGAATAATTAAGCTGAATGGCTTGTGACCAAGCTGAATGCAGTTATCATGTCACAACTTAAAGGTGTTGTTGTATGACCAGTAATTTAAGTTGAAATCATCCAGCAGGATGAACATCATCTTGTCAAACACTATTCGGGGAACCACACACTTATTGTTAATGTGGTCGGTTTAAAAAAACTCCGCTAGTTTGAACAATTTCTCACTCTACATAAGGACGAAATTGTTTTTGAAATTCTGAATAACTTCTACTGGATCTGAAGAAGTATTTTATTTAATATCCCCCATCCTGTGTTCGTTGATATAAGGGCCACTTACTCTTATGTGGTGGTGGTGGTGAATTTTGGTAGGTGACATACATTGGTGGTGTGGTCGTAAATGTACTTTTTTTCAATGATGTTTATTCACAAATTAAATATATCAATTTAGTCAGTACAATTAGTGAGTAGAATTGAATCATATAGAGTCTTAAACACTTTCAGGGCATTAAAAATGTGATATTGGCCATATTAATGGTCAAACATACTACTTGTGTCAAACTACACTTCAATCAAAACCAAAATTAACATCTGACCCCTTCATCACTCAATACCACTGATATGCTACTCAGTAAACAGGACGTCAATCAAAAACACCTAACATAACGCTTGTTGAGATATGACGATATTTTAAATTTATACTACGTCGGTAACCCGTTCTGTCAACAATAAAGTGACGATAAGTCTTGCAATTCATTAAAATTAAATGCCTGTTTATATTACTTTTGACGGAACAATACCATTTAAATATTATACATAATCATATCGATATATATAGTATGCGGGTACTACGAGTTCACGTGTGGAGATGGTAGTTGTGTCGGCCTTTGGCTGCGATGTAATGGCGCTGAAGACTGTAGTGATGGATCTGATGAAAGTACAGAATTATGTGGTAAGTTTGTTTGATATTAACACAATATTGTGCTTTGAATGTTACAGCAGTTTTTTTTCTATGTACAAAGATCACTGAGACACATGTGACTGTAGCCTTGAATCCAAGAAACAATAACATCATCGATGAAAACGGCCAGGCATTAAATTCTATTTAATAATAATAATAATAACTTTATTTAATTAAGCGCAACAATTTGACGTATTTGACGTATCCAATGACTGCTTATTAGTAACTTTAAATATGTAGCAGCTACATTAATTTCATGACATCTTTGATTGTTGATAAAGAGTTTTGTGATTGTATGTTAACAGTACTGTTTTGCAGTTCCTCAATGAAATGTCATTGTCATAGAAAATTAATATAGTATTCACGGGGATGATAAAAGAGACTACGTTATGAAGACCACAACTTTCGATGTTTCTAAGAAGCGTGGCCTTTGATTCAAAGACAATGCAAATGATTATTGAAAACATGCTTGTATCTGAATGTACAAATAGATTATTTGTTCTCATCCCATGTCCTAGGCAACCATGTAGTCTCACCAAATACAACAAATAACCCTGTTTTCCCATTTACAACACAAAGTAACCACATATTCCCATTTTACTCACAAAGAGAATCCAAAATATTATTTCCGCATACATTTGCTATCGTTACACTTCAAATTGAAACTTT